TGTTAATTATTTCATTGGTTCTTTCGCTAACATTTCGTATCGCTAACATAAAAATCCTCACTATAAGAAAAGAACTTGAATTTAATATTTTAGTGAATGAAGATGTTAAAATTTTGTTTCGTTTCCACTGAGAAAAAGTGAACTAGAACTAGCCCTTTAGACAAATAGCACTAGAAAAATGATCTATTTATACGAAGAACGAAAACAAAAAGTTCTAACAAGAAAATACACTCGTGTGCGAAATTGAGAGAATTCGAAAATTATGTCTGTTTTTCGAAAAGTATTGAAGGAAAGGTAATAATTTTGCCGCCGAAGAAATATGCAAATATTCGAATATGTAAGAGTATATGTGCGTGTCTACGGAGCTGCGATTGTGGAGGGAATATAAGCACACGAGAGGTTTTCTGTGATTTGTGTACTCGTACCCCTTTAAGATAGTCGCCGTGTTTCTCGCAGGAGTTGGGTAAATTTTATAAGGTAGAAGGAGTAGCCACACACGTATGGATAACGGAATGAGATGGAGAATTATTGTTTAAACTGGAGCTAGGCCAATCACAAACGCAGATGGTTACAGAGCTTATGTAACGCCCAGTGTCGTCTGCAATTTGTGGAAGCAGTTTCAGGACACTGAATGTATATCGAGAAGCACAACGACAAATGAGGATCGTTATATGGTTCTTTCAGTGCGGCGACACAGGTCTGCTACATCTTCACAGTTTTCACGTCATCTGTATTCTGCCACTGGAACTCGATTTTCAGGTCTTCAGTTGCCCGAAGTCTTCATGAAATAGAGCTGTATAAGCCAGAAGACAAGTTGTTTGCGTCCCGCTCACTGCAGCATACAGGAGAGTGCGTTTATCACGGTGCAGACAACATAAGCCTTGGACCAGACTTCAGTAAAGCACTGTGCTTGTTACAGATGAGTCGAGATTTTGCCTGGACACTGATTCTCGCCGTATCTGTACCTGAGGAGAACCCGGAACACAATATCATCCCTCTTTCATCAGGAGAAAGGATTATTACGATGGTGGAGGTGTAAAGGTTTAGGCAGGCGTTTCGTTGGACGTCGGCACACCTCTGTATGTGTTTGACAAAGGCTTTCTGACTGCTGTGAGGTATAGAGAGGATATTTTAAAGCCATTTGTTTGACTTTTCAGAGGCGCATTTGATCCTGGAATCATGTTAATGGATGACAACGGTCGTCCACATAAAGCTCAGCTGGTCGACGACTGCCTGGAAAGCGTCTCACATATCTCTTTTTCTGCCACATCTGTTATAACTCCCACACGTCTCTTTCTCTGTTTTAAATGTATAGTCATACCAAATTCAATTAAAATCTATCCATTAGTTTTTCAGAAATTCGACATAACGTGCAAATTCTCTTAATTTTGCACACGAGTGTAATTTTGCGATTGGCGAAGGTAACAGCGAGAGAACCAGATGTAGCATGTTAAAAGAATTTTATGCGATGCTGATCTGGATATGGAACAAAGTTTCAAAGTCTGTCGAAAATCTTGATAAAGCGGTTGGTAGCTCTCATAGATTGCGCAAAAATTGAAAAATCAAATGCAATTAAAATATTTTACATTTTTTTAAGAAGTCGCTCAGTCAAGTAGTCAGTTGAAATTAAATACAAATTTAAGTGCCTTATTTTAATAGTAATTTGAACAATGAATGTTGTTATTTTAACTAATGGATGAATTATTCAAGTTGGTTACTGTTCTTGCTTAAGGCTCATTAATTGGTGGATTATTTAATCGTTTCACAGCGGGGTCTGGTTTCCTGTAATTGAAATCGATAATAAATGTTAAATAACTTCGAGTAAAAAAATTCGATTCCTTCCGTTGTCAACATAATCGCTTATGCCAATTTAAAAATAATCCCTTTAAGGCATATTGGCTTGTAAATCGTATGATGATTGTAAATGATCCAGATGTTGATAACTTTGCCAATATGATTACTCGTTATGTAATTAAAGTTAAACTAGAATGTTCCATTATAAGTCAAGTGAATTAGAAAATGTGAATGTAAAATATAGATATATTTGAAAATTTTCATTCGATATTTTGAAAAGCTTATGTTTCAATAAATCAAACCCTATGTTTCCTTCCTAACTAATCTATATTTACTCAACGCCATAAGAAGTTAAACATTTCAATAGACAACTTAAGATAAATCCTTTCAGGTTTGTTGCTTAAACTTGATATTTTTCCTCCTTTGAAAGTTCGAATTTTTTGTATCTTAAATACAAAGTATGAAGAAAAATTATTTGAAACTGAATTTTTTTCTTCATTTTCAAATCATTCTCGATAGGTTCTTAATAAAAGGAACAACATCTTTATGTGCAAAAGTATAACAGTTTCTGCCAAATAATTCTGGTGATAGGGAAATTTAAATTTAGTTATACGCGGCTTTAAAAGGTAAGAGGGATAGAATTAGAATTATCTCTCAATACGTGCCACTGAAAAATGCTTTTAAATTTTCAAACACATTAATGCCAAACACAATAATTCAAACCTTTCAATTAATGTGCTATTTGTGAGAAATAGCAGCATAGCATAACCAAACATATATTACATGGCATTATACATTTCCTAAAGAAAATTTTAAAGTTTTCTTTTATTCAGAATACAGATAAAATTACATGCATTTCACGGCATAAAGAAAGTAGCTTATTTATACATTAGTATATTTGTGAGTTGGAAATGACGTACGATATCTCATGCATTACAGACATTACGATGGAACAGCGAAATACTTAATTAGATTACTCTTTCATATTTTGTTTCACTAACTATGCTTGCTTTATTTTTCATTGGCTTTCCATGCTATGTTATTAGAGTAGCCCATATTTCTTATTTAAAGCCATACAATCAAATTTAAAACAATCATAGCACTTCGTAATAGATTGTCCTTGATTCAAAAGTTCTGCATTGAATAACACTTGTTCCTTAAAGATAGTAGCAACAGAAAGAAAATCAAATGAAAAACAAGAAATAATAAATGAAACTTCATTTACGCTCTTTTATAAATCGGAGGATTAAGCAACAGATTAGATAATTTTTCTTCATGCTGGAAGTGCCAGAGTCGGAAAGCGCAAATTGAGTCTTTAGATGAAACAATCTATGTTCCGTTACGTCTTTATAATGGTTGTACGATTTACATAAGTCAGCCACGGTTGGAGAAATAAAATAAATAAACGAAAAGGAAGCGAGAAGACAAACTAACCTGCTCTCTAATTTTATTGCGGTAAAAGCGATAAGAGGGACACATCGGCAAACACAAGTTCCTTTCTCCAACAAGACGAATGGCCAGATAAATAGCAGAAAGAAATAATAATAATAAAAAATAGCGACAAGACAGCAATGGGCAGATAATAATAAAAAAGGAAAACCACTTTCACCCAGCAGAGAGAGAGAGAGAGTTTAAAAGTGTTTTATTTCAGTAGCAGCTACCGTAATGATCGCGGAGAGGTGTTTGAAATATGAGCGACTGTAAAAGGCCCTGGTGTAATGGACGGGACCGTACAATCGTAAATCACGCGTTTCTGTGAGCTGCTTTCTGGAAACGTGGTTGGAATAATGAATGGCCAAAGCGAACCACCTGCTAACAGGCGAACTTAACCTCGCTTCTATTAGTAGAAGCTGTTGGGGTCACCGTGTAAACACACAAAAATCAAATTAGCTAATCCTTACCGCCTGTAGTGTCGAGTCGCCCGTTTTATGACGACGCATTAGCGCCTTGCCCGCAGTTTGTCATTTGGAAGAGTCTCACTGGGTAACCGCAAATGGTCTCTCTACCCGCTTTCTTTCTTTGTCACATCTTTTTTCAAAAGCTTCATTAGCTTCGTTTTTAATGATCGCATCAAGAGGATGTCAGCTCCGTAGCGCCACACGAAGGAGCAGAAAATTAGCCATTGGTAAATGGTGCGGATTTAATAAGGATTTAGGAACTTCGGAGTAACGGTTATGGGGATTATATAAATGGACTCGGCATCTTCCTCTTCTAAACGTTTTTGAACAAGTGGCTTATTTAGTTTTCTTTACGTAAATTGGAGTGAATTTATTGCCACGAATAACGTTTTGCTGATAAATGCTCCTCTTTCTCCCCTCTTCTTTTATCCTTTTTTTTTTTTTCTCTCTCCTTCTCCCTTTTTATTTTTTATTATTATTTTTTAAATGCTCTACAAATCTGTACCTGTAGGTATATGTATATAATATTAAGGTAATGCTTAGTAGTTACGTTCAAATATTTTTATATTAATATAACTTAATATGCAACACATAAGATGATTTTAGGCAAACTAGTGACAAAGCAGCGAAATACTGGAACAGCGGTTGAACGGGTCGGCTGCATGAACCTTCGTGGTTTTCTTCATGTTTAAAGTCAATCTGGACAGGTTTTCCAGAAAATGTCTTCTAAGAATGTGTCCGTCGCCAATGATTTGGACATTTTTCCAAAACCAAGTAATTTCATTAAATTAATTTGCAGTGAAAATAAGACGGAAATAAAATGAACATTTATTCGATCATTTCGTATGAAAATGTGTGCATTTCCTGAATATCATTATAAGAAGGTTACAGCAACTCTGGAGACAAAAAGACACCTCTGGAGACCTCTTATCATGACAAAACAGCGTAAAAAAATTATATATGCTAACTTAAAATTTAACTTTAATTAGTTGTAGCGAAATTTATAATTCCTTCAGAAAAATAAAATAAAAATATCATAACTAAAAAAAATATTTCTTGCCTGATTAAGTTAGAAAACGTGACAGTTAACTGTCGAGCACACATGAAAGGCAATTTATTCTGCGGTAGAATTCTTGATAGTTAAAATTAAGGTAATTATTAATTTTCTAACGACTAGTTATCATTCACTATGCACTTTTAACCGAAATATATTCTAAGATCAATGCTTTTAGTTATTTCAGAAGGTACTAATATCTCTTCCGTGACATGTGTTTGAGTAAAATTCTGTTTCTATTTCAGAGACCTCTAAGTGTTTAGATTTAGCATTAAGCAGACTTTCTGTTCAAGAAATGTTTTAGATCATCCGCGAATAATGTAAAGCAGACAGACATCTTGTCCTTGACATGATTAAAGAAGATGCAGTCGTGTTTGTGCATGTAGGTACTAACTTATTTTTACGTAAGTACGTTTTATTATCTCTGTTGCTCAGGACATTTTATTTTGAAGTATTCTATGTTTTAATTCACTGCTACTAAATTTTTCATACGTAACATCAGTTTATTTTGCATTATATTAGGAATAATTTATGTGTTGCTTTCTTTATAATAAGGTTAAACGAATTACATTTATGCTTCTTTTCTTTTTTCCATGCTACAATATAGTACCATACCAAGCACGTTGAAATCATTAGTACATCAGCATATTTGTAAACTTTGGTATATTATTCTTACAATTCCCATAATAATCAGGAAAAACATTGCTACAAGTGATGCTTAATTTCTAAAATTAGAACTGTCGGAACCGTATGGAAGACCTTCAGGGAAAAAGGAAAAATATAAGTAAATAAAGTAATAAAATAATTAAGTAATTAAAATCAATATTCAATAAAATGCAAAGAGATCAAATTAAAATTTAATAACTTATCAAATGCATTATAAATAATCAAATAATAAAATAAAATACCAGACCTCTTTTTATATGGGGCTCAGGCTGCCATAACAATTTCACTCAAAAAGTAAAAAATAACAGACCTCCGACTGAATTTAAGCTTTGAATATATGTTAAAAGGAAATATTTCAAAAAATTAAAAAATAAATGCTACTCTCTTTCCAGCACACCAAAGAAAAATTGTAAAACTGTTAAAAAAATCTGTAATGAAAATAAAGCTTATACGCATAGATAGGTGCGTAGATAAGAAAACAAAGAGAGAATACTCTAACACTTTCTGACATGCTCTGTCTAACTGTAACATGCATGACTAACATGCTCTGTCTTACAATTCCCTGCGACACTATTCTAACTTTCAAGCGGAATGCGACAGGGGAAAATGTTTCCTCGAATCAGTAAGCTAAGAATAAACTTAAGGTCGTATCACACATTAAAAACATTTCGGAAGAACAACTCTTCGGAATAATTTTTCTGCTTTGGCACATGATATGAAATAGCCAATCACCGTTGATCGTTTGGGGGCTACCATGTAAAATAGAATAGTTCTTCAATACAAATGATGGTTGATGACGGATGATTCGATGCTGACAGCTGATTGGTTGTTGAAAACAAACAACTTACAATTTTTGTGGGGGGGGGGGAGGAATAAAGGAAAAAAGAAATTGTGCATCTTTATTTGAATGGTAAAAGCAGGTAGAAAAATTGTTTGAAACTTGTTCATCTGACATAAATGGGCGTGTGATACCAGCCTTAAGGTACTGTACCTCGCATTTGATTACCGTTGTTCTAAAAAGTCTGCAGGTGTTCTTTTCCGATGTAAGTCACTAGCGTTGGCGTACATGACAACAATGAACATTTCCAGTAATTTCGGAATGAAAAATTTACTAGCTCTCAGAAATTCGTTGCACTTCCAGAAGAATAAGCTTTTCACGAGTAGGTGGGGACTTTTCTTTCTTTAAAAGTTATAGAGTTCGGTTTTCTTTGGTAGCATAAACTATCCTCAAACTTCTAACAGACTTGGAGCGAGTTACTGCTTCGTCTGAAAAGAACTACAGTGTCTTGAACAACATTTTTACTAAATCAGAAGTTCAACATAAACGCACGACTCTTACTTAACAAAATAATCACTACTTGTGGCAATGAAACTTAACGAACAATCCAAGTCAAATTTAAAACTAAGCAGTCAAGAACTACTAGGCTTAGTTTTAAGGACTACACATTGCACACAGCCTCTTGATGTTGGCTGAAAACTTTTCCCTGGCGTAACAATTGAACGTCGGCAGCAACGCAAAGCCGAAGAATTACAATCTTATCAGAACTAGCGAAACCTAATAACGATGCAAATGCTCTGTCTTACAATTCCCAAACCTCCGTTTAAATACTATTTAAGTTAAATACTATTACTCCGTTTAAATACTATCTAACCTGATTTGCATTCTAGTGAGGAAACGGAAAGGAGAAATGATAGTAAAGGTCTAAATCATAATACTTGGTTAATTAAAATAATAATAGTAACCTTACAAAGTAAGTCTCAACCTTAGTTAATGGATTTGTTTCCCAGGAAGATCCTCACCATTTATCAAAATAAAATCCTCACCTATTTTTACCTCTTTCTTCAGACCATATGATATTTATTGTTGAGAATACTCTTTCAGCTGGTGCAGGTTGAAAATGTACTTGATTATTTGAGCAAGACTGGGCAATGATTTTTTTAATGATAAAAATAAGCACTACTTGTGGCAATGAAACTAGGTGTCCGCCGATAACATCGCGGACGAAAACATCGCGGAGAAAACAACGCAAGGCGAAAACGTCGTGCTACAAAACATCGTGGGAGAAAACATCGTAAAGAGAAAACATGGAAGTTCTAAAACATCGTGGTACAAAACATCGTCGTGGAAAATAAAGCGGTTCAAAAACTTCGCAGTTTGAAAACATCGTCGTCGAAAATATCGTGGTAAAAAATAAAGTATCTACAAATCATCGCATGACGATAACATCGCAGACATGCTTTTTTTTCAGGTTTTAATAATTGTAAATAGATATTCCCATAATGATTTGTGAGTGCAAGGTATAAAGAAGGATAATTTTTACTTTCACATTTTTTTATTAACTAATAAATTTTTTGCTGAAAAAGTAAGAAGGAAACTTAAAAAATAGAAAATTAAATGCGTTTTATAGATTATACTTTTAATGAAAAATTACCAGTAAAAATTTCATAAAAATGATTTATTAATGGCCTTTGTTAGTTAACTATGCCGGTTTAAAATTCTATTAAGTGCTATAAGTTGCATTAATTTTCTATGCTTAAGTTTCCTTTTTATTTTCTCAGCAAAAATTTATTAATTAATAAAGAATATGAAAGTAAAAGTTATCCTTCTTTCCATCTTGCGCTCACAAGTCATTATGGGAATATCCATTTACAGTTATTAAAGCCTGAAAAAAGCATGTCTGCGATGTTATCGTCATGCGATGATTTGTAGATACTTTATTTTTTACCACGATATTTTCAACGACGATGTTTTTAAACTGCGAAGTTTTTGAACCGCTTTAATTTCGACGACGATGTTTTGTACCACGATGTTTTAGAATTACGATGTTTTCTCTTTGCGATGTTTTCTCCCACGATGTTTTGTAGCACGACGTTTTCGCCTTGCGTTGTTTTCTCCGCGACGTTTTCGTCTGCGATGTTTTCGGCTGTAACCGATTGAAAAGTTGCATTCATTTTTGTTTACAAACTCTCTACAATCTGAACCACCCCCCCCCCGCAAAAAAAAAAAAAAAACCTTTTGCAATCACTACTTCCTCGAAAATTTGATCCCAGTTTATTATATAATTAGCGACAGTTTCATTAATCTTTTTAATCTACTGCTTCAGTTTCATACCATGTTTTTTCACTCTTTTTCATCCAAATAAAAAATTCTGCTCCACCAAAAATGTTTTCCTAGAGCTCAATGTAAGAAAGACATTTGTCCTTATTTTGGGAGAAAACATCTAGATAATATTAAAAGTATTTAGATCTAGATACAAAATATTTGAATTCTCAAAAGTTAGTGCAACAGACGGAATATTTTAATTGCCATATCGTTATTTTACTAGATGCTGCACTATTTTTATTTCTTGTATATTAGGGATTTTTTTTTTTTTTTTTAAATTTTATTTTGCCAAGTAACCTGGGCAAAATGACAAGGTAGCCAGGAAGCAGGGATCATATCATTAAATCTGGACAATCTCGGTGAAAGCGGGAAGTCTGGCAGGCCTAATTATAAATAAATTAAAATATGGAACTCTTCTAGATTGGGCTTAGTTGGGAATAAAATTACTGTAACTTTCGCTCTTGCCGCTAAGCTAGAAATATAACTGTCAATGCAGAAAGAAGAGAAGGCTGAATCAGTAATATGCCATTTTCTATAACCACATCGAATTGGGGCAATATTATCTGCGGATATGAGGACACTAGTATATTCATTTAGGCATCAGATCGCCACTTTTCTTCTTTACTGTATAAAAAACATCGGATTAAAACGCATTTTTCCTGCTGTACACGAATTTTTTTTGGGCTACTTTAGTTTTTTTTTTTTTTTTTTTTTTTTTTTTTTTTTTAACCACCCTCTTTCATTACTTTATTAGGAAAAATTATTATTATTCTTTAGTAGCCAATGTCCCTTTACTGAAAATTAAATTCGTAAAATATAACAAATGAGTTATAAGCATCTACACTCTGTACCCATTTTCTGTCTCTTTCTTCGATAATTTACTTTGAGCAACACGATAGAATGCATCCAAACCTCCTTAACTTATGGCTTGTCCCGAGCTTGATACGTTTATTTCATTACAATAGGAAATATGATTATTAGATGCAGTAATACGAATCGGTTTGATCACGGAGATGTGTTAGTTATAGTTTTCTCCCGAAACACGACTCAAAAATCCCTCAAATACTTTGATTCCCCTGTTAAAATATATATTAGATATAGTAAACCTCATATTATCATATATAAACTTATAACATATTCAACTTCTCTGGGTGACGTCATCTTATCAAGTAAATTAAGAATCATGAAACACTCCCCTTATCAAAAAACTGCAAGTTTGCTTTCCGCTCCCTCTGCGAATTTAGCCTGCGGGCTTGCTGTGGGCTCCCCCTGGAAGTTTAAGAACTTGCCCGTGAGCCGGTACTTTCATATTACTTTTGCACTTATGTCAGATAAAATTCAAGAGCACAAAATATTTAAAAACTACATGTCTTTAGAATTCAAGATAGAGTGTTAGGGGTTGACAAACTTTTTTTTTTATATTTGCTACATTACTTTTTTGAAAACTAGCCTCTCGAGGGGCCAGCCGCCTAAAAGATTTAAGATGAAAAAATTACATAATGATTTTAACGAATCCATTGTTAAAATCATTATGTACTTTTATAAAATGACACATGTAATCATATGTGTCATTTTATAAAAATATTTAAAATTTATAATTAGACATCTCATTA